TTTCAAATGCACAAAAGGGAACAATGTGATAATACAGTGCAACATGTGCCTGCCCAGCAAAACGGAGCTTTCGGCTTTTAAAACATCAACATCCAATTTACGAAAAAATGTGGCGGTAAGTTAGTTATCATGGTGTTGTCTGTTGGACAGTAGGATTGAAAATTGTTTGCACTTTATGGTTCAGGTTGTGACTGTCCTTGTGCTGTGAGGAAGTATGTTCTTTAGCCCAGCTGATCTTTTGCAAGTGTGGACGTCCACTGAAATACGCCTTGAAATTGATTAAAACACCTTGTGCTCAATTCGTTTCCTTTTTTTGCATTAAATAACTCAAAGTAACTAAGTAACGTTTACTCAAATTACATTTTAAATGAAGTAATTTTGTACTTTTACTTGAGTAAAGTTTGAGATGGGTAATTTTACTTTTACTCTGAGAAGAATTTAGGCAAAGTAAAGATACTTTTACTCAATTACAATTTTTTAGTACTCTTTCCACCTCTGTTCAAAATGCAGACATGTTTTCGTCCTGTTAGACAAGGCTTAAAAAAGTTATTATCCATCATTAACCCAAAATGTTTCACCTTTCAAATACAAACTGTCTTAATGTGTTTTATATGTAAACCATCACTAAAGAAAAGAAAAATCATACCTTGGACTTGGTTCTGGACTTTAACTAGGTCACCCAAAAAGCCAAACGCAGCGTAGCTCTGGCTGCATGCTTACGGCTGCATTCTTTTGCACGATTTCTTCCAGTATTTAGTTCCAGTCTTAAACGATGCATACCCCCACCGTGATACTACCACCACCGTGGTTTACCGTACAGTTGATGCGCTCCACGCTCTGTGTCGTTTTGCATATATGTTTGGTTCACGGCTCTCTGCAGACAACAAACCATTAAACTTCGAGCTTCATGTTCAAACACTCATAAATGTTGCTAAAACAATGATTTTCTTTTAATGTATTTAAAGTGACGTCTCTGGCAGTCTGTGAACAAAATGCTTCTGAATATAGCTTCACATTGAGCATCTTATTTGCATAATTATTTTATTTCCAAATCCAATCTCACAACATTGAAGAAGGTGTAGTCAATAGCCAACAGAAAGCTCCTTCTATTCCAGCCCCCCCCCACCGCTCCCTCAGCCACTGACAGCCCCTTCCCCTCCCAGTGTGTCCCTAAAGCCATTATCTCTCTGTGTTTGAAGAGACCAGACCAACCCTCTTCTCAAAACCCCCAGATAAAAGACTGTAGCCTGGGGCCCTAAATACCAGCAGCCCATGTGAACTGCTGGCTGACTGGGGCTGCAGAGGGGTGTAATTTCAGCGACAGTCAGCCGCATTCAGCGCCCTGAGAGGTTAGACAAGCTGCGACCTGGATCCCTGAGAGACAACACCAAGGAGAATGAGTCTGCATGTGTGTTTGATCGGGGAGACAAGGAGCTGATTGTGTGGCTGAGCAATGGCACGCTGTCATTAGCACAGACTTCTCACAGAAAAGGGCTTTTAGTCATAAAAAGATAGTGAGTGTGTGTGTGTGAGGGAGAAAGACGGTGCGGTTTCAGAGTCACTGTAGTGATTAGAGAGCAAGGTTTGAATCAAAGGTCATCAGGAGCCTGAAGTGCAGAGCCAGGAGAGACAGTTTCCAGCCTGATTAAAAGATAGAAGGTGTAATGAACTGTAATAGCAAGAAAGCACTGCAATTTCTCCCTTTCTCCAACTCTCAAATGTTCCTTTGGAACCAACTAGAAAGACAAACTGGTTTTGATCATCCCTGTTAGAGTCTCTCATCACCTGCCAAGGAAACCAGCCTTCAAACATTTATGTGAGCAGAAATAGCACAGGGTTCAGGTGACGTCCCTCCAGGAGATGTTTAGATCGGTACTAAAATAGCAACCATTATCCAGGACTGGATCCATCCTGTTCCATCCAGATGTGGTGCAGACTGTTTCCTGACAGCTTTGACAGGAAGCACAGCTGATGCAGACGCAGGCATCCGCTGTCCCCACTTCCTAAAACCTGCTTTCTCATCTGGAAAGTGTTTTTTTTTTATGTCTCAGCCTCATTTCTAAGAGTTCCAGGGTCCTGCATGCACTGGATTAGTCCCTTTTAAAACACGGCTGATGCAAATGGATGAACCCCCCTCCCCCCTGTCCTGGTCAAACAGGACAGCGTTTAGACAAAGTGGGAGTTTTAATTTTGTGCAAACATAAAAAAATGGAAGGATTTGCAGGCAACCAATGAGGTACAGGAGTACCCGTTCAAAATTTCCCAATTTTTCTTGATGGGTCCTTGGCTGGTCCCTCTTTAGTTCCTTTTTAAACATCAATATGTGTTCTAACATGTTCTGTCCTGTTTTGTGAACTTTAAGATCTAAAGAGAAGCTTCATCTCCTGGTCAGATCCTGTAATTCAGTAAAAGGGTGGAGTCAGAGTAAAATAAATATCCAAGAGGGGGTCACCCCAGTGGCTGGAAGATGGAGGCGATTTTGCTGGAATACTGTAGATCTCCGTTTATTCCTTTGGTTTCCAAGAAGCGTTCAGCAGGTCATCCACCACTAAGGCCTTAATGGTTGGGGACAGAAATTGAGCTTCAAAGATGATGGCCCCGTCCACACGAAGTCAAAACGAACACGAAACGCTAATATTTTCCAGAACGTTTGTCTTAAAGACGGAGACGTAAAATAAATGTGATCAACCAAACGAATGCATGAAAACGCTGCAAAGTGTATGCCAGGCCTGTAAGTGGCGCTGTGGTGCCAAAGCAAAAATAGGCGACGAAATGTTGGGCATGCACACTAATATTTATACATGGTTGCCCTGCGGGTCCATTTTCGTGGTTCAGTCAAATTCAGGTGCTGAACTATGTCGTCTATATTGCTCTGTTCTTCCTGGAGATATTCCAGAAGAAGAAGATTCTGTTCAGCAGGATGAGTAGCATGAGCAGCAACCATTCAACACAGTACGGCGCCATTGTTGTTGTGATACTGTGTCGCGCATGCGTGTTTAGAGGCAATGCTATGACGCATGCGTGTAAGAAAAAAAATGCGGTTAGAGCTTAAAGATGGAAATGCGAAAACGGCATTTCAAAATCTTCCCACTCTGAAGGCTTATTAAAAAAAAGATCGTTTACAGACCCCCGAAACGTCGGCTTCGTATGGATGAGAGGCTGGTTTGGTGAAAAATTTGTGCGTTTAGGCCAGGGCTTGACTTCGTGGTGAGGGGGCCTTAGAAAAACTAAATGATTTGGTCAGATGAAACGGGCATCTAGTTAAAATCATCCCAATGAAGCACGGTGGTGAGAGCATCATACATGGGGTATCTAGTCCCCATGAAGAGTGAGATAATAGCAGGAAACTGTGGCTTAATGATGCTAAAGGTGGATAAAATTGTGGTTCATTAAGCAAAACAATCAGTGAAGAATGAAAAATCACCTCTGGAGCGTCACAGAATCACTTCCTTGAGCTTAAACCTAATTAATATTTCATAGAGTTGTAGTCAAAACCACATTAAACAAAACTGAGACAAGATAAAGAGGATACAAGGTCTCGGTTGGTGTGGTCTTAAAAATGAATATTTAAAGTCTTGTTTTTAAAAAAAAATTGGTTTAGAAAAGCTACATTTTATATCTTCGACGCTAATATCTGTAAATAAGGAGCTCAACCGTCTTACTGGACATGCTGGCCGCCATCTTTGGATCCCTCAGCAGGATTTTGATTGGCTGGCGGCATCACGTTTGTTTCAAACCTCCTTTTTTGTTTTTTTTAATGTACTCCGTTTCTTTAGGCGTTCAAACCTTTGCAAAGCAATTTCAGATTTTTTTTTTTAAACAGATGTCAATTTGAACCATTTTAAAGTTTAGCTTAATTTTGTTAACCTTGATTTAATTTCATTATGCTCTCAAAAAACTAAAATAAAAAAATTGATCAGCAAAAATATTTGTTTTGCACTTAAACCTTTGAGAAGAAGGGAATACATTTCCTTGACATGCGTTTTATAGCTTTGTTTTGGAAAATAATCCAAGTACCACATGTAAATGAGTGGCTGTAAGAAATGGCAACTGACATGATCATGGAAAAATACCTTGTATAGTGAAAGGTAAATGTAACAAATTAGCAGAGATATGGTTCCCATTCTTATCCTTTCTGGAAGAGGGTGGAGGTAATGAGATGTCAAGTTTAAGCGATACTGATACCATCTGAGAAGCATTTTATTTTTAAGTTTTATTATTTATAGTTTCATTCTGTTATATTGTTGTAATTTTATTTGATGTATGTTTGGATTTATTTTAAATACTGTGCTCAACTATCCTTCAGTGTGTGTTTATAAAAATGTTAAAATGTAATAAAATATATTTGGGAAAAATAAAAAAATTGGACCAAAAAAAAGGTTGTCAAAAAAGAAATTTTAATTACTGAGCTTTAAGCACAGAAAACGGAATCAATCTGCTATATTTCGAGGAGATTAGGGATTGGAAATCCAGATTAAAAGTTGAGGAAAAGAAGGAGGCCACCATCATGTCCTTGATATAATGAAAGACAAGAGAGGAGAAACTGTTGCCTTCTTTTCAACAGTTCAAACAAATCTACTTTTCTGAGACAAAAAACGGGACCGACTGCTGGAAGCAGAGCAATTTCCCTCAGAATAGCGAAATTAAATATTGTTTTAAGAGAGTGAATTTAACCTTCAGCGTCTCGATCTGAATCCATTTCCATATCGATCATACGATTCAAACCCTACAGAGGTTTTCCATTTCCAAAGGGTGACCTTCACACACTGCAATGAGAAGAGGACAGGAGCCCTGCACGGATGGAGAGGGATTAGGCCCCTGGGGGGCCATGAAATGCAAAGCAGGGGGAACGGTCCTCAGTGCTGCAGGTCTTTGAATCTTTCACCTTTTAAATGGAAAGCAGCCCTCGCCAATCGAGCATCATTATGAGTCACATGATCCAAACATTCGACATGGACACATTTAACAGCAGCAAAGAAGAAACATCCACAATCTCCCTTTTTAAATTCTTTATTTAAACTTTATCTGGATATACAAAGGTCAAACAGGAGGTCATTTAGTAAACAACAGAATAAAAAACATCAAATCTACTCTAATTAGGGAGAAATACAGTTAGAATATTTCACAAAGATCCTTCATAGAAAACTAACAGGGATTAAACTCTAAAGGGATCAGTGAGCTAAACGCAGATTAAATGAAATCACCTCATCAATAAAAACACATGCAGACATGAACCAGGTGACTGTAATAAATATTATACAGTGTCTGACATCAGCATCCCGGCGGCTCGCCGCCCCCTCATGCATTTTTAAACACCTTCAATTTATATTCATTGCTATGAAAATCAACACTGTATAATATTGCACGAGCCCAAAATTCATAATTCATGGGATGAAAAGGGATTGAATGCAGTGGGGGGGTGGGGGGCTGCGGATGGTGATGACTGAGGTCCCGTCAGGAACAGCGAAGGCGGAAAAATCTGCTCTAATTTGGTTTATTTTAACGTGGCCTCAGCAGGGATGCAGCTTTGAACTTCTGGAATAATCCTGGAGCTGAATTATAAAGCAAACATGAACAACCACCACTGCTGCACAACAAAACACCAAAAGGTCCTGGATTATTATCAATGCATGTAACAAATATCAGCGTCCAATGGAAAGCCTTCCCTCAGTCTTTCTGAACTAGGGCCAGTTTACCGTCTACATTTAGACACTCCGTACACACCTTTCTGTTCCATTCTTAATAATACAAATATAAAACATAAAAAAGTGCCATGAAAAGTGAAACCGAGCGAACACAACCACAAAAACAAGGAGTGAGTAAAGGTAATATTTAGGGGGACGTGAGGAGGCAAAGCAGCTTAGCCCTGAAAGAACATCCAGCCTTCCTCCTCTACACTGACCGTCTGCTTTAACGCGGCTCCTTAAAGCAGTTTGTTGGCAGGAAATTAAAGAAGTAAAACGGATCTGATAAGATTCTGTAAAACCAGGGAGAAAAAGAATTAAATATGCTTCAACTGCATGAATTGCATCAAATCTAACAGCGAAGATTCTCTTCATTTAGAGATCACAACACAATCCAATCTAGTTTTTTATTTTATGAACAGTGTAGAAGGTCGTCAGAGAGAATAGGACAGGAGCATCGTTAGTTTACTGTATTCTCTCTTTGTCTGCTGCAGGTTCTGGACCAGAGTCTGTTTTGTCTCTTGAAAGCAGCCAAACTGCCGGACTGATGATGTAGAAACAAACAATGTGTCAAAACTTCAGCTTTAACTCATTTCCTGAACCAATAAAACTAAAGTAGGGGGACTAGAAGGTAATAACAGAAATCAATATTGATATCCTTTCATGTTTCCTCTCCCTGAGGGTGGTTACTGCATGCTGAGTTACTGTCTGGATGCTAATCCTCATAAAACAAAGGAAAATGACCTGGTTACCGTCTCAATAACAGCAGAGAAATGTCAAGAATACTTAAAGCAAACCTCCAGACACCTCGAAATATGGTTTTTATTGTCGCTGGTTGATTTTTTCCCCCCAATATAAACCTTTTTTTCATATACAATCTGTTTTCTAAATAGAGTTACAGCAAACATTTTGATAAGACTTTTATCTTTGCTCGGTAGAATAGAATAAAAAGCGAAACGGCTCCAGAAAGACGAGCTACATGCTGTCTGGACTGGAGTCTGGGCATAAAGGCTGCTTCATGCTGGGTTATTTACATCACCAGCTGTGGGTCTCAGAGGTTCACGGTATTTCTAGCAGCACCGTCGGATACATCAGCAGTTTTGTTACCCCTGACTTCTGACACAGGAAGGAGGGAATGATGAAGAGTGGAGCCGCTCTACTTGTGGACGACATCAGATTGGATGGAAAAGAAAAGAGAAAAGGAAAGTTTAGCTGAATGGAGATCCTGCTCACAGCGGTTAGGGGTAACAACTTCCACCTCGGACCAGCCAGGGTTTTGGTGGTGTGCTACACTATCGTTTGCTGCCCTCTTGGGCTGAGAGCGAGGCAGTGCAGGAACGGCTCAGGAGGAAAGAAATGAGAGGAGGGGGGGGGAGGCGGGCTCTGTACTGTGCTACTCATCACAGCCCAGAAGCTCCATTCGCAGGGTGATGCGCTGGTGCCATTCCCAGGGCAGGACGCGGACATATCGGCTGTAGACGGCTGGCTCAAACATGTTCCTCTTGTGAACGTTGTTGTCACTGTTACCAGGAAAGATCTGAGGAGCAGAACACAGAAAAAGAAATAAACCAAAGCCTCCAACCACAGCAGGCCTACAGGCAAACCTGAAGCAGTTTTATGAATTGATTGGGACCCAAAGCTTAACCGGTGACTCCTACCGGAAAACTCTGCTTTTATGGTCATCTTTTAATTAACAATTAAATTTATCCTGATTCATTAAAAATCTGCAGCTGAATACGATTCACTGATGAAGGGCTCTGATGAAAGTCCCTGCTGTTAAATGCGACCGCAGTAAAGTTCATAATCTGGAAATTAAGGCGAAGACAAAATACATCAAACTAAAAACATCAACATAATTTGTATTCCACAACCTTAGCTATTACCCTGTGGAGCTCTCCATCTGCACTTCTAGATGCTAGTGTTTTAGCAGATGAGTCCAATCTGTAGCAGATTAGATGACCTGGTTCAGTGGCTGAACAGAACAAATACATGACATAGAGATGACCTGTCGGGTCTTAAGCCGGGCGTACACTGCAGGGCTCGATGATAACCATTGCCTAATCTCCCGGGGCAAGTAGTTTTTATTGTTGGGAGAGTACACATTTCATTGCATTTGCCCGCCGGGCAAGTGCAATGATCGCAAAAAAAAATTTTATTCATCACTCAAAATTACTTTAAAATGACCGACATTCGATGAAAATTACACAGAAGCGTTGCAGGCGCCATTTTTATTGTTTTGTACACATTGTCGCGTGATTTGAAAAAGCTGCGTGATTTTCCACCAGATGGCGTGATTTTTGACTTAGCAGGCTAAAAAACAACCACAAGGCAAAAAAAATGTAAGTACAGTAACACACCCACCACCTATTTTACCCTCCACCCATTTCACCCACCACCCAGATAACCCTAGATTAAAAATTATCGGTCAGGGATTAGGAGAATTGGCATAATTGTATGCCATGCGCACAGTGTAAATATGGCTATCATATGGCAGTCTTCTGTACAGTGATGCAGACATACATTAAAAAATGTTCTTTAAATTTTTTTTCTCTTAGACATTGGAGAGTTGCATTTAAATGTTATAGAGCTAAATATGTTAAATTGGTTACCTGTTATGTTATGAAAACCCTGTATAAAATAATTATGTATAATGATTCTCTAGAAAAGTCACATTATATTAATAGTATTATCTTGTATAAACATACCGTGACTCTAAAATAAAAGTGATTCATTTGTCACATGGACTTCTGTCTTTTTAGATTTTTAACATTACAATTTAGATTTTTCCAAACACACAACAGTTTAAAGCAAAGTTTAGTTTGAAAAGAATGTGCAGGAAGGCTTGAAAAGCATATTAACACGTAATGTAGGCTTGAGTTCATTATCTGACGCATGCATATACAGGTAAAAGCCAGTAAATTAGAATATTTTGAAAAACTTGATTTATTTCAGTAATTGCATTCAAAAGGTGTAACTTGTACATTATATGTTTTCATTGCACACAGACTGATGCATTCAAATGTTTATTTCATTTAATTTTGATGATTTGAAGTGGCAACAAATGAAAATCCAAAATTCCGTGTGTCACAAAATTAGAATATTGTGTAAGGGTTAAATTTTGAAGACACCTGGTGCCACAAACTAATCAGCTGATTAACTCAAAACACCTGCAAAGGGCTTTAAATGGTCTCTCAGTCCAGTTCTGAAGCCGACACAAACATGGGGAAGACTTCAGATTTGACAGCTGTCCAAAAGGCGTCCATCGACACATTGCACAAGGAGGGAAAGACACAAAAGGTTATTGCTGAAGAGGCTGGCTGTTCTCAGAGCTCTGTGTCCAAACACATTAATAGAGAGGCAAAGGGAAGGAAAAACTGTGGTCAGAAAAAGTGTACAAGCGATAGGGATCACCGCGCCCTAGTCAAGATTGTGAAAAAAAAAACCCATTTAAAAATGTGGGGGAGATTCACAAGGAGTGGACAGCTGCTGGAGTCAGTGTTTCAAGATCCACCACCAAGAGACGCTTGAAAGACATGGGTTTCAACTGCCGCATACCTCGTGTCAAGCCACTGTTGACCAAGAAACAGCGCGAAAAGCGTCTCACCTGGGCTAAGGAAAAAAGAGCTGGACTGCTGCTGAGTGGTCCAAAGTCATGTTTTCTGACCAAAGCAAATTTTGCATTTCCTTTGGAAATCGAGGTCCCAGAGTTTGGAGGAAGACAGGAGAGGCACAGGATCCACGTTGCCTGAAGTCTAGTGTAAAGTTTCCACCATCAGTGATGGTTTGGGGTGCCATGTCATCTGCTGGTGTCGGTCCACTCTGTTTCCTGAGATCCAGGGTCAACGCAGCCGTCTACCAGCAAGTTTTAGAGCACTTCATGCTTCCTGCTGCTGACCTGCTCTATGGAGATGGAGATTTCAGGTTCAACAGGACTTGGCTCCTGCACACAGCGCCAAATCTACCCGTGCCTGGTTTACGGACCATGGTATTTCTGTTCTAAATTGGCCAGCCAACTCCCCTGACCTTAGCCCCGTAGAAAATCTGTGGGGTATTGTGAAAAGGAAGATGCAGAATGCCAGACCCAAAAACGCAGAAGAGTTGAAGGCCACTATCAGAGCAACCTGGGCTCTCATAACACCTGAGCAGTGCCAGAAACTCATCGACTCCATGCCACGCCGCATTAATGCAGTAATTGAGGCAAAAGGAGCTCCAACCAAGTATTGAGTATTGTACATGCTCATATTTTTCATTTTCATACTTTTCAGTTGGCCAACATTTCTAATAAATCCCTTTTTTGTATTAGCCTTAAGAAATTCTCTAATTTTGTGACACACGGAATTTTGGATTTTCATTTGTTGCTACTTCAAATCATCAAAATTAAATGAAATAAACATTTGAATGCATCAGTCTGTGTGCAATAAATAAATACAATGTACAAGTTACACCTTTTGAATGCAATTACTGAAATAAGTTTTTCAAAATATTTTAATCTACTGGCTTTTACCTGTACACACCAGGAACTTGTAAACTTAAAAAATACTGAATTTAAAAAAAAATTGAAACAACAAGCATGTTTCATTGATATATATACAAAAATTTATATTAGGAACTATATTTATCAAACATTATACTGGGCAAGTAAAAATTGTTTCTGGGCAAGTGGTAAAAATCCTTAACGTCAACCCCTGCACTGTGATATTTTCAATCGCTGCATGCAGCTACAGCTCACACTGTACGACCAAACTGCAGGGTTTAAAGCTTTACAGCTCACCATTTTTGTTCTCACACTGTGCAACCAGACGCTCTGATGCGATCTACCTGCTCACACTACACTTTTAAAAACCACCCGTCGGAATTAGTGCCGAGAGATGAAGCTGGTCAGACTCATCTATCTGGAAGAAGAAGAACTCCACTGTTTGAACATGTGCAGTAATCAAGTTTCTGGTAAATCGGCTCGTCACTCTGCTTCAACAGCAGGATTTGTCCACCACCACCTCAGGAGGGCCGACTGAATTTCAAATACGTTTGATTTTCTCCCCACCTTACAATTCCTGATCGGGAGGTGGTCGTTACCCCCTGCTACACAATGCAGGATGCACCATGAGGCTGAAACACGCCCCAATTGAAAAAATTCTCCCACGACTGGAAAATCGACCCGGAAAGGGCAAAAAAAATGTACAGTGTATGCCCATTCTATCGTTCTATTCATCTAAAGCACTTTGAATTGTCCTCAATTGTACTATATAAACAAACTGGCGTTGCTTAGAAACCAGCAGGTAATATTCCCTTCGAGGTTTCATTAGTTTATTTAACTAATCTATTTTTTTTTTCAAATCTTTACCCCCTCTTTAATGAATCCCTGTTATTCGTTGGGTCTGTATTCTTGGACCAACCTTGTCTTTGCCTGTGGTTCCATCCTTCAGGATAGTCCAGGACCTCCCGTCGTTGCTGTAGGCTACTTTAAAAGACGAAACAAACTGGACAGAGCCAAAGTCTTTGGCCCCCTGAGTGATGATCCCCGTTATCTTCTTGGGTGACAACAGGTCCACCTAAAAACACCACAACTTTACAATACACAGCAGGGCATGTTTAAAAAGCAGACGCTGTTCCAGTGCGAACTCTCCTACCTGCAGCCATTGAGAGCGGCTGTTGGTGGCGGGACTCCAGGCGTTGGTCTTGCCCTGCTTGTCCAATCGGGCGTAGTGCGGCAGCCACTTGAACGCCTCCAGGCCCCAGGTGCGGAAAGTGCTGGAAGCTGTGATCTGCCGGTCCGACAGCAGTCGGGACTTCATGCCCATGGGCTCCGAACAACCTGAAGTGTTTGAATACACTGCGGAGGTGAGAGCAGGAAGAGGAAAAAGGAGCAGAGGAAACGAGGGAGGAGCGTGACAGAGGATGGAGAAGAAGCAGCTCAGGCCAACCGCTGATGTGAAGCAGCAGACATCAGATGTTTTGGTGACCAGATAAACACAGCAGGACTGGAGATGCAACAATCAGAGCGCTGAAGACGTAACATTGAAAATATTTATTTCTAGGCTTCGGAGCAAAGGAAACGTCACACAGTGACAGAGGTCAACCTTTCAGATCCTACAAACTCAAACAGGTTCCAAAATAAGAGCTTTAGACTCAGACTTTAGCTCTGCTGCCATCTAGTGGTTAGATATGTAATATCAGAGAGAAGAGAAAACTCTAACCCTGGTTCTGATTGAATCAGCGGTTAAAGGATCCTCCTATTATATGATGGGGCATTCTTTGAGTCGAAGATCCAGCAAACTGTAACTGCTCTAGAAATCCTCAATGCCATCAGCTTTACCCGGTTAGAAAACATACAAAGACAAATTAAATTTAGACAAATTAATCTGAAGCCCTTTTAAACTGTCTTGGCCAGGTTAAGCTAGCGACACCAACAACAGAGCATCTTTGCTGTAACTGCAGCCTTCCTGGGGTTGACTGGGTTCAGCTCTGATCCTAATCAGCAAAATAACTTATTTTGCTTGTTTGCCTAAATTAAAATCACCTATTCACCTTCTGACAGTAAGAAAATGTCTCACTGATTGGCTTTGAGGTTCAGGATTGTAGTTTTTGGTCGAGATGCCTTCGCTGAAAAGACTAGAATCAGATTTTTTGAGTTCCTGGAATGGTTAGATTGTAGTGGCTAAGTGCTTGAAGTATCTCACTGCTGAGGTAGACTGCTGGAGCAAACAATAAAAAAGCTTTTTTTTTTTAAACTACACAGTGTGAAATTTATTCATCTTTCATCTCATGAACCTTTCTCAACACATCTTTCTTTTAACAGAACAAACTGCAGTGCTGGTTCATGCTGGAAATGCAGTACATTTACTTAGGTACTTTGTTTTGAGTAGCTTTTCTTTAACTGAGTAACTTCTTGAGGGAGTACTTTCTTTCACACCACTACAGTTTGAGGAAACTTTGGTCTTCAAATAAAAAAAATATATTTAAAATAGCTCTCCTTATTTTTTGTGTTTGAAACAATGAGAGACATTTAAACTAAAACACAAAAAGCAACAACTGGGAAATAATCCATGTTAATGCTAAAGAAATGTAAGACGGGAGACGAGACCCTGATGTGACAAGACGACTTTTAACGAAAGACATCAAACAGAGCAAAGCCAGCGAGTTCAAAGGAAGTACGGTGGCACATGAGGAACAATAAGGCAAACCAAAGGCTTGACAGAACAGCAATAGACAGGAACATATCAGGCTTTTTCACTGTCGATGCCTGTAGGACGAAGGAGAATCCATCTTCCTCCCTCAGACTAAAGGATGACTGTCAGGTTAATTGGCCTTTATGCTACGTTTACCCCGCAGGCGATTTCAGCAGCAAAAAAGCTTCTGCTGCTTCATTTCTGGTGTTTGTCCACATTAAGGTCAGGTGTCAAGTAAAGTGTGTTCAGATGCGTCTGATGCTTCTGCTGCTCCTGTGTTCAATTGCAGAGAGCAGCTTTGCTATATTTGCTGTGATCAGTGGGTAAAAAGTCAAGTTAATAATTTTTTTTTGAGAAAGTCCTGAAAACATGGTCTGTGCAGTCAGTTCATCCAGATTACCATCCTGCCTTCAAAGATTATCTCCCACATATCTGCTACTCCTGCTGCTCAACCGTAGACTTTGCATGTAAACCGGCTGCTTCTGCTGCTCATTGCGCATTTGGTGTGAACATAGCATTAGGGGTTAGAGTATGAATGGTGGGATTAGGATGGATGGATATAGAGTAAATTGGTTTGGATGAAAGAGTCTTGGACTGGACCAACAAAGTTAGTAGGAAATCTAAAACATGTCTGAGAGCAACCAACAGCTAATTTGCTAAATTCAGTTGTGTCTGTGTGCGTTTACCGTCGAGTTCACAGCCCACCAGCTCCATGCGCAGGGTGCAGGCCCTGCGACACAAAACAGGAATGATGCGGATGTACTGCGCAATGATTGGAGGGTCAAACAGGTTGGTCTTAGTGCCGTCATTGTCCACGTTCCCCACAAAGAGCTACGAGAAAAGGGATGTGGAGGATCCTGTCAGTGGATCAGCAGTGAAGATAAAACATTTCAACAGTTTTCATTACAAAAGCACAAACTTTGACTTTCATGTTTAGCAATAGATTTCTAATTGAATTAAAAGAAACCTCTCTTCCCTGGTCCCGCTGAGTGAAGGATGGCAGCATGATGCTGCCATCACCATGGTGGAAACTTCAGTGTAGATATGTTAACGAATGCATGCCACATTTAGAAGATATTTAACTTCTATATTTTATATATATATTTCTATATATTTTTCCCCTGTTTTTAAACGCTCTCCATTCCAGGACACATCATTTAATGAATTCTACAAAGTGATCTGTTTTATGGCTCAGAGAACTGATCTGATCCTATCATTTAAACCATTAGTAAAGACGCTAGCTCAGAACCCCACCCATGTCCTTACCTGGTCCCTGCTCTGCCCTTCAGTCCTGTACATGGTGTACGTCTTTCCATCCATGCTGGACGCCACTTTGAAGGCCTTGATGAATTCCGCTGTGCCGATGCGACTGGCGCCCTGCGTCACGATGCCTGTGAAGCGCATCTTTCTCTTCACGTTGATCTGGAGATGAACCAAGTCAGTTTGATCATGAGAGTTTAGAAGGATAGAAGAGAAGCAGAAACTAAGATGAAGTCTAAACCGAACTAAAAAACCACTAATCGACGCTATACATCCCACCGCCTCGTGTTAAACTGAAACCAATCGCAGTAATGACCTCTATCCATGGGTTCTTGTCATGAGCAGCTGAACTCCATGCGTTGACCAGTCCCTTATTGTGGAGACGGGCCAGCTCCGGGCCCCAGCGCTGGAGGCCCAGCACGGTGTAGCGCACCGACGAGGCTCTGATCTGGGACTCTGCGATGCCCCCTCCCTCCATTCCCAGGAGAGAAATGCAGCCTGCAGAAGAGAGATGGTTTGAATGCTCAGCCTGCTGCATACAACAGTGATACAGTCAAATTTCTCCAAACAACAAAAAGAAAAAGTTATGCATCTGAAAACAAACAAAAAAACATTCACAGAGAACAAAAGTTTTTCTTTTTCTTTTGTCTTTTAATTGACCCTAAAATAAAGAGACTCAGCCCTCAATCAGAGAACTTGTATAATTTTTGGACCTACAGGTTAAGATGCAGCTCACAACAAAAACTAGCAAAAAATGCTGATTTTAATAAAACGCACAAACTCCTTCCAGCTGCAGCTTTCAATCAATTTCCTATTCAATCCCTTCGAAATATTTGTGCTCAATTTCAATTACTTATAAAAGTATTCACTCAGGCTGTCTGACACCAGCAAAGCTACTGTACCTGGGTTAGAGGGGTTGTTTTAAACACTTCTTCATTCCCATCACAGTTCACAGTCCTTCCTCTTAATGTTCTATCTTCTACTGTATCCAATTTGTTTTTAAACCTGTATGGAAAAATCCTTGCAGCTTTTTGCAGGCTTCAAGTGGTTTGGTAAATCCTTATTTATTTAACCTTTATCCTTTGTGACCAGAACAGGCTGGAACATTGGCAACACTAAATCTTGCCAGTTGAAATTAAAATGCTGGCTGAATGAAGAACCCGGCATCTCAATTTCTTGTTAAAGAAATGTTTTTCTTCTTTAACTTCTCTTCTTTCTTTTAAAACTCTTCTGTTACATCATTGATCACTTTTCAAGCATATCTGCTATCAAGCAGAAGTATTTTGATGTGGAGGCAGCAGGGGGTTTACCATTAGGCAATATTAGGTTCCTGGAGGTCCCATAAAACTCTGTTTACATGTATAGTTAATACAACTATCACTTATTTGTGCACATTAATTATGTTTTAGATACAAATCCTTTGGCTAAAATGCCATCAGATAATATTATAAGATTAAGAGTCCACCATATTGGTTCAGTCCATTTGCTGCACATGTTCAGAAAGGTCCAAACAGGGAGCAGCAAACCATTTGAAAACAAACGGTGCAAAGAGCAGTGTTGCTAACTTAGCGCTTTAGCCGCTATATTTAGCCACTTTTCAGACCCCTCTAGCACTTTGATTTCAAAAAAGCTACTAGCACCAAATCTAGCGACTTTTTTCTGCTACTGGAGACATTGGAGACAACATCTAAAAGCAGCGAACTCTGCTCTCCAGAGCAAGTAGATTGGTAACCCCGCCTCCTGCTCTCCTCTATCTTGTCTGCTGTCATGATTCATGCAGCTATTATTTCATCCAAATGAAAAATGGACCCAGATAAGCAGAATCATGGCTTGTCTACAGTGAAAAGAAGGACTGGGTTATTTACTTTTGCCTTTTTGGAAACACAGGAAGGAGCAATCAGCGAAGTGAGCTTAGTGCTTGGAAAAAATCTTTCATTCCTTTAGAGACAGCATGAAAAGTCAGCTGAGTACAAAACATAGAGAGGAAAACAAGAAGTAGAGTGGGACATAACAGAACAAATAATAGATGTCTATTCTATTAACATTCCTCTATCTGTATAATGGGTCTGTTTTATGCATTTTCTTCTAAATTTAGAGGCCCTCCAGCCTGTCTTTGTCCAGGGCCCCCAATCTCCTAAATCCGCCCCTGTGTGCAGGTTAATGGCACTTACGCTGCTGGCACTGTTTGCCCACATACGGTGAAGGGCAGTGGCATTTAAAGTCTCCTTCCAAGTCTCTGCAGGTGCCGCCATTCTCACACGGCTGGGCAGCACAGTCGTTTACATCTGCAGAGATGAATCGCATCGTTAACACCTGAAGTCGAAGGACGAACGCCATGGTTAATTTCAGAAATAAAGTTAGAAAAAGGAAAGGAGTTAGATGTCATTCCAGCACCTCACAAAAACCTTCCTGCACCTGCAGCCACATCTGTCCCATTAAAGCCACAAACCTCAACAACTTTAAGTGACAGCCCCACATGAGGTAATAGGAAAGGAAAATCATTTGTATAAATCTTAAAGGTCCGGCATGCACCTGTACTGGTCTTAATTTAAGCTAAAACTCCAAAATTAAAACCAGGTTTAGGAACCCATACAAGAACATTTTTGGATGAAATCAATCTGAACGGTTTGGCATGGTTGTGTAGAAAAGCTCCTCTCACTGTTATAGGTCTGGCCTGAACTCGATATCCCGCAGCATGATGCTGCCAAATGCTTCAATTTTCTGGAGCATTGTTAAAAAAAAAAAAACACTTTGAAATTCAAACATTGCTACTGAAAAGGTATAAACTTAGGATATTGTATACTGCAGGTGGTTTGAGTGCTATCACAGGTTTCTACTCCTCAACAACAAGTAAGGGCAAGATTTTTATTGATTGTCTTTATTGATCTAACAGTGGAGAAATGTACTTGTTCCTTCAGCTCAAATAGTCAAAGAAGAAGAAGGAGGAGGTGCCAAAGGAAGAAAAAGTTGCATGGGATATATAAAGTATATACAGTGCGTCCTCATGTGATGTTTTATTTTTTTTATATTACATGGGTGTTTATATAGATGGATATTTATATTTATATAGTTATTGCAGTGTCAAATATAGAGAAACAGGTAATAGTAATTGCAGTAGCGCTCCTTTTTCCAAACAGGGTGTAAAAGTCTTTGACTAAAGGAACTGCTCAGCTCCTCTACAGTCTATTGCAGAGGGTGGAAGGTGGTGTCCATGATGGATGGAAGCTTGGACAGCAGCCTCCTCTCAGCCACTTCCTAAGCTGAGTCCAGAGTGCAGCCTAGGACAGAAACAGCCTTTCTCACCAGTTTGTTCAGTCTCTTTCTGTCCCACTCATATCTTTATTATGATCATCTTCATTAGCTGCACAAACTAATAATTGATCCAGTAAATTCCTTTTAAAATTTGTGTGTGTGTTGCAGAATTTCTTCATAAATGTTATTTTAGTGCCTTTATAAGACCATGTGCTGCAGCAGGGACACACAGTAGCATAAACAATGAGTTATACGGGTTGCTTTATTAAACATAACTGTAGTCTTGAGAACTTCAACTTAGTTATTGGCGAAAGTGAGCTGTTTACATCTTGAAAAAAACAAGTCCTTAGCTTTTTTTTTTTTAAATTAAACTTAATCCCTTTGCTCTTTTTTAAGACAATGAAGATAACATTAAAAAAATAATAAGTGTACCTATATTGAGCAGCAGTACTTGAACAGCAGCCTCCAATAAGTTCACTGTGGGTCGATGACACAGAATACCAGAGAGGTGGAAGGCCTGGACCTTTACTTAAAAATATTGTGTGTGTTGTAATCTTAAAACAGTAACAGTGTCAGTTATAAAAAGAAAATTTTATTGTTCAAAATCAGAATTGTCATATCAGGCTTTTTAAAGATCAGGAATTGGTGAAAGGCCAGAAATCTGTAATCAGTGCTTCCCTAAGTGACACTGAAGCCATGCTCTTAAAAATAACAAGGTGCACCATAAAATGAGAGTATCATCTTAAGTTTTTAATTTTCAGTAGAAATGTTTTTTGTTTAATTTTCCTGTGTTTATTTTTTCAATGTTTTATTTTAGATCTCTCCTTTTTGATATATCTGTCGCTGGTTTAGCTCCATACAGTTTTTTCTCCCCCAAAATGCAAAGATTGGTTGAATTCAAAACTAAAACTGTAATGCCCCACCATTTAAACTCTTACAGTAAAAATCTAATCAATCCATTGAAGTTTGTCGCTTTGACGTCACTAGATTTGAAAAAAGAAAAACACAAATGGTGGTTAGTGAAGGAAGATTATTACTTCTTAGTGACTTCACGTAATCCTGAAAAAGTGATGTGGGTGAAAGTCCAGCAGAACCAGGGGATCATGTGGTGTTGAGAAGCTTGTAACATAAAAAAAACTCAAGAGGGAAAAAAAAATCCTTCTAAAGCATTAAGGAAAATCTTAGTGCAGGGAAGCGTTTGCTCATATTTTCCCTGCAGTTCATTCTGTCAACAGAGGGTGGCGCCCCTGAACTCTATTAGTTCCATTTAAGAATTCCTCAGATTATTCTGGGATCAAAGCACCTGAGCAGTATAAGAGACAGCTTTTACATCTCACCCATAAAAACCTTTCAGTGTTGATAAAACTGCTTTGAATAAAACATTTATTTCAAGCTCAAGGCTCAGATTTATTTGTTTACAACAAAATCCGGCAAATAAGCGGACTTTACAACATATTTCTATACCTTCAGTCTTTATTGGTCTCCATCTCTACAGAGTAAAAGTGGAAAAGCCAACAGAAGCACAGATGTAGTGTTTCTACCCAGTGAATACACACATGGCTTCATCTTACCGCCCACACGCTCCCTCTATAAATAGCTCTGTGTCCAAACAGTTATTTTCACTCATCATAGAAGGAATATAGTAATTTTGAAAAGCGTAGCCGCAAGCTCTGAATAATTGGGTTCACTGGAGTTTCTGATACAGAGATTCCAGCTTCCTTTGAAAGAAAGCTAAAACTAAAATGAATCCCTAAATGCAGCTTCTGTCTTTAGGGAACACTTAAAAACATTTGCAATGATGCGCAGAAACCCTGAACAGGATGTCCTCATCCTAAACTGGAAGCTGCTTTGAAGAAGTCTGGTTAGTGGGAACTGCTCAGTGAGTTTAATTCATGCAAATCTACCATAATGATCCTCATGAATGCTCCTGCTTTTTAACAAGAGGGGGTAAAATGAGACGAATGGGACTGAGGTGTGGAGATTAGTCCACCAACCTCAGCTGTAGGCTAAGGTAGCAACCAGAGGGGCATGAAGGACAGACAGCCCAATAACAATCATCATTGTTCAAGTTCAACATCTAAATCAGTCCATCACATGGATGAACAACATCACCTAAAACAGGGTTACTACCTAAATATGTAGTAAAAAAACAAGATTAATTTCTGAATACAGTTAACAAATATGATGACATTCAGGAAACCGGACACTACAAGGCGAGTATTGCCAAAGGTGTTGCGATACAATGCGAGTCACATTACTTGGGTCACAATACCATATTATCATGATATGTATTGTTTTAGATTCTTAGTACCTCAAATGTGATGGATAAACCTGCAAGGCATGACGAGGGGCTTTATTCCTTGCACTTTTTTTCTGTCTTTGATGGTATAAAAATACAACCTGTGTTGAAGAACGTTTCATATCTGTCATTTTAGTTTTTGCCATCTCAGCAGACTCTTTTTTTACAGATATTTTCTTTATTATACTACAGGAATCTGGCCATAATAATCCCATCAGTCTAAAGATCAGATCTAATTGATCTGTCATGTTTCAGACTGAACCAAATCTGGGTCAATGACAGAAACAGAACTTTAAAGGAAAACATATACCACTATTCGGACAGTTTAGGCTTATCCAAAACTTTGAGGAAAATATTTATGCAGAAAAAAAAGAACAACCAGTAAGCACTGGTTTGTTTAGAGCAGGACGGAAAAACGGCAGCACTGATTAGGGGTTAAAATAATAATGGTTTTGTATCGATGCATCAATCCAACAGCCGACGAGCCGATGCATCGATACGTCTGCAAGAGAATCGATTCATGTTTTTTTTTTTTCTCCGGTCTATTTTTATCCATTTGCTCCTGGGCATAATTCTCCCTCCCGTGCTGCGGTGGCGCTAAACCTATTTTGCCCTTCTACCTCGCTTCCTGGTTATACTCTTACAGCAGTGTGTCGCAGTGAGCTTGACACAAACATTTTTGATGTATGAAGCGTGGTCTGTGCTACACGCTGTGGGTCTAGATTTGGCTGACGCGGTGAGGAAGTGGGGGCGAGTTTAGTCCGACAACGGAGAGACATGAGGGCCAAAAAGAACAGAGATCCAGGTGGAAAAAGGGTCCCAGCTTTCTCCTGCACCTCGCTCTTCTAGCGGGTCAAACTTCACGAGTTGTTTTCCGCAATTTCGGTCATAAAAATAAAGCAAGCCGGCCTCCCGTCTGCTGCACTGTCTGCGGTCAGCTACAATCTGGGAGTTGCAGCGGAGTGTCTGTGGAGGGGGCGGGGACGTCTGGAGCCGAGGTATTGCATTGCACTCATTGCACTGATTTTCTGCTGTATTTTTTGATGCAACTTTTGTACTTATGCATTTTTTTTTTTTAGAAACAACAGAAAATAACAGAACGATATTACAGCTTTCATTGATTTATTTTAAATTTGAAACATTGTCTAGCCTGTAAGGTGTAAAAAAAAAAGAAAAAAAAAAAAGAACCAATTAATCGAATCCAATCGAATCGTGGTGTATTCTTGCGTATCGAAAATAATCAAATCGTTGGATCAGGAAATCGATACTGAATGGAATCGCCATGATGGATGTGATTTACACCCCTACCACTGATGTGAAATGGGGGTATAAACTGGCTGAGCAGTGAATGTATGTAGACCCTCTATAGCCTACAGCATTCAGTTCCTTTATATGTTGCCATACTAAAAATATACAGTTTGGTTTTTTTTGCAATACTGATATTGAGAAAATATTTCACATTTTGTTGCTATCCTGATTATTCTCTATCCGAATGTATTAGAGAAGTTTATTCTATACCTGTTACAATGATTCAAGATTCTGGCTGCAGATCTGCACAGTGCGGACTCCTGCACTATCGGGACCGGAAGTTTAATCCGGACGTTTTATTCGAAGCCTTTTGGAATACCGGGTAGCACGTATGAGCTGCCGGATTTTATTAGAAGAAGACAAATTGCCCGGTGAGCGCTCACTTAACTGTGCCTTTTCCCTACTTGTATCCACTTAGAGGCCAACAAAACAGGGTTTTATAATAATTTTTGGGTGATTTTCTTTAACTTATTCCAACATTATCCGTCTATTACAGACGTACATTTCAATGTGACTCCCTCTGGAACTTCGCCTAAAGTTAAACGCTGTGTCATGCTGTGAAATCTGCTGTTTTAGACAATAAACACACTTCCAATAAAATAAAAATAAGTAGACATTTGAATGTTTTTCTGTGTCTAAGTTATTCCCTATTTTGGTCATGTATCTATTCAGTAATCTACTGTGAGAACACAAAGCTAAGTTCATTTGAAATCACACTATCCGTTGGGAAATCTATGTGGTCCAATAACAGCATAAACAATACTAAAAGAAAATTATTAGAATATAGAAAACTTGCAGACACACATCAGAGATGTCTTTATAAGAGAACTGAGTGAATTTTGGCATTTTCTTGTTTTTTTTTTTTTAACCTTATCGAGTTGAACTGGAAAGAGATTATAAATAAATCAAACACATTAATAGACAAACATTTTTCTTTTGCGAAGGCCCAGGAAATAAACATGGGAATGTAAAATATTTCCTATATAATAGCTTTCATTTTATTTCACTTTTACTTTGAAAGACTGTCAAACTTCCGGCTCTGACAGCGCAGGAGAAACTCACAGTGCAGGTCTGCAGCTAGACTCTTTTGTCTGATTCAGCACACTAATAACACAAGGATCATGCAACTTTAGTTTATTTAATAGAGCTAACATATCTAAAAAAGTAAATGTACTGACCAGATCATCAAAGCCAAAAACCTGAAAAAGTTTCCAGATAAGCCATTTTCATTTTTTGGAGGGGCTGGACATGGAGTAGTAGAGCCTATAGTAGCTCAGATTATGCTCTCCCTGTGGAGGAATAGTAAAAGCCTGACCTTTTATGACAGTTATTTTTCTTAAACCTGAAGCGCCCACATGAATATGCCATCTGATGCTGAAATGTTGTTAATTGCAGCTTGTTTGAAGATATCATGGTCTATTTATAAATAAGCAGTTACCATAGTTTAACTGCAAAACGATTCATCTAAGAGCAAACAATCTAACCAAAACACGAGTCATGCTATCTTGCGATAAGAGCGTTCTTAGCTCAGACAAAATCAAGCAGGAAATGCTCATCCCTCTCAATCTAAACCATGATGGGGCAAAGCCTGGATGTATTCATTAGCGGAGCCCAGTCTGTCCACACAGCCACATCCTGGGAGGAGTGAAAAACTCTCCTAAAACTACTGAGGGATTAGCTCCCCCATACACATACCATTTGGTGACTTTGGAAAAGTAAAAATAACTGCCTGAAGCTGCTTTGAAAAAGCTGGCTTTATAAACAGGAAAAGGACTATTTTCCTCACAGTTTCCATCCATCTGCTATGCCCTGAAGTCAGCAGCTATTGACATCTCTCTCCCTCTTTTGCCCTGAATCTCTTATTTGGAGATGCACTTTAACCCACCTCCTTCCCTCTGCCACCCGTTGAGGCACTTAGCCCCGTTTGACAGGGCGCTCCAAAATGCCGCAGTCAGACCTGAGCAGTTAGTGTGACATTGTAAAGAGGGCAGCCTTAATTCACCGTTCCGCCTCCATGCTCGTTTTCTTTCGCCCGGCAACAGCGGCAGAGCTGACGCTTCAGACATCCATTGTGGACCCGCACTTTCTGTTGGCTGGACTAATGTGAGGGACGAACCATGCGTGTGTGGATGTGTGCGGTAAACGTTCTGGTTATGAGAGCTGGTTCATGTGGGAAGGGAATGATTTCAGTTTTTCCTCTCACAGAGTGGTTTCCTTTGATCTGTTTCTAAAAGAAATCAACAAAAAACTAAAAAGAAAAAAAAAAAGAATCTAAAACATTTTGAGCTTTAATTTCCCATCTGACATGAATATCTGAAGGAACCCATTAGGGCCACTTCTCACCATCTACCGTAAATGGATCCATTTTATACAGCTCTGTGAAAAGGTATCATGTAAAATATAATCGAAGAATAAGACTAATGACAACCTAACACAGACCATAACCAAAATAACTGTAAAGCAGCTCATATAGATAATACAAAAAATAACTGGGTGATTCTCCAACTACCACTGCATGAAAAGCAGGATTATCAGCAGCATTTGGGATGTAGAACTGCAGCAGAACTTCAGAGTAACGGCTCTAAACGGCAGTGTAAGATTTGGACCTTAAGTGCCAGAACACACAGAATCTGATGTTACAACAGATTTTCCGTCCGATCCCACAGAAAATCGTGTCGGACGAGGTTGTGGCGTTTAGCGCTCATTGAAAGTCAATGGGGATGATTTCCTGCAGGGGGCAGTGTAACTCTGACTGAGACAGAGCCCAGGACTGTTTTCATTTGACTGCCCAGCAATTTCATGGGTCTGAAAGGAAGAGAGACGCAGTTGCAAAGTAAACACATCTGCTTTGGGGCAAAATACAAAAAGAAATCTCAGTTTGGAGTCAGAGAGACTCAGTTTGGATTCGCACATGGCGTATATATTAAGAAGGAGAGATTGTTGCAAAAACAAATGGACTATAAACTATCTAAGATCGGCTTTATGTCAAGAACTTCAGTTTAAGTCAGAACTTTATTTTAGAAATTATGGATTTAACATGCTGCTATATCTTTATTGTGCTTTGGTGCTCATGGTGTCCATAAAATGAACTGGCCGGTTAAATTGTGGAGAATCTAAGCTTTCTAATGATGCCTTACATGTCTAAAAAGTTTAACTGGTGTTATTTTCAAGCATACTGCTGTAAAAACACTAAACGATGCTCTGGTGTTAAGGCAGGCAGGTATTTTTCGGCATTTATCTGTCCACCAAAACTCTCAATTTTAGGGCATCCATGTATAAGAAATTTGAAAACATTAAGAGCATTTTTAAAAGTTCCCTTTAAGTTCCCTTTTCAATTAAAAACACTTATCATTTATTGAACAGTATGTAATAATTTCATATTTAAAGTACTTTCAGAAGTTTGTATTCTGAATATGACTGGACTTTTCCTTTAAATAAAACCCGAGCTAGTCAAGATCAAATTTTCAGTTGCAAAAGGGTTTTGCTGGCATCAATCTTATTAAGTGAATGTTTTAAACATTCAATTGAAATAATTAACGAGGTGTGAAGTATCTCATACAAACTGGGTCCCTGAGCAGATGGCCCAACTACAAAACCAGCTAACGTTAGCTGGTTAGCGCATGCTGTCATATAAAACCGCATTGTTTTTATTTTTTCAATGCACCCAAATAATAAGCTAATATTGTAGAAGCTACCAATAATAATTCGTTGTTTTATTTTTTGTCTAAAATATGAATAACTGCTGCTTTTTCTCATTTGTGTGAATACAACCCTGCCATGGTGTTAAGACTGAAGCCGACAATAAGCCAAGAGTGTGATAGTGACACAAACGCCAGGCCCTCCCTGACCTCGCAGTCCACATGACAGTTTCTGTTACTCATCACAGCCACATGACTCCCCATATATTAGACAGGAAGGTTTTATTCAATTATCATAGCAGAGTTCTCTGCAGAGGGCTGTTAATCTAACACCCAAGTCAATTGAACTGCTGAATGACTTGGGGATGAACACATTTGAATGAGCTGTGATTTCTGGCTTTTGTGGTTGAGCAGAAATGTAAACGGGTGCTTTGGTTATAATCAAAGTTAAAAAAAAAAGAAAAACACTGGAATCCAAGTTTCACTCTGGGGATTCTGGTTCAAAACAGACAACCCAGGCGCCTGGTCTACACTTTAACTAATGGTTTGAGGTAAGAATGATAAATGATTTCTGTAAAATAGGGTCCCCGCTGTCAGGCTGGGTGAAGAGATAAAAAATGTGGTGCTTCTAATTTAGAAATATCATTTTAATTTTTATGTCCATAGCCTCAAACAATGCCTCATTCTGAGGGATAAAGCTAAGCTCAGTGATTATCCTTGCTGTATGATGTTGAATTCCACTACACTACATGCAGCCAAGAAAAAACATAAAAAAAACAAAGGGCATCTAGATCTAAAAGGTGGAAAAGAGACAAACACACACACACACACACACACGCACAAGTTAGTTTTTTTCTACAGCTTCATTTCCACTGTTACCTTTTGCAGAACTTAAATTTGCTCCCAGGACACCTAGGAGGGAAATGCATTCATAATCAAATACATAGTGCACTTCAGCATATAGGAAAACAAACAGACAAAAACAGAAAACAGGTCTGATCTAGTGATTGACAAATGTGTTCTTGGTTCACATCTGGCTGCTACGTTTTAAGCAAACAGTAGCCATCTGTCTCTGAGCGCATGACAGGAGGAGCGCAGCATGTTTTCACTGTCGCCTCTCTGTTAGGCTGCCACTAACCATTATATTGATAACCAATTAATCTCTTGATTATGTTTTTGATTATTCACTTAATATTAAGAGGTTTTATAAGAACACTTTTTACAGAATCAAACCAGGTGAAACTAAAACGTTTTCACTCGAGGACTTCTAGATGGAGCATACTGACAAGCGAAAACATTTTTTTTTTTTTTATCTCAAATGCAAAATCATAATATAATCATAATATATAGTTTTGCAATTTTGGTATAATTCCTGCTCTAAGTAGGTTTATCTATCAGCTAAAAGTATGTTTTCGAGACGCTATTCTCCAGTTAACGATTAATCGATTACTAAATTAGTCAACGATTATTTAAATCAATTAATTCTATAAAAAGTTTCAGCCCCACTCTCTAGAGCAGTGGAGATGAAACTATTCTTAAAAGAATGGACATATTCATTAATTTTTCTAATAGATCAGTGAATCCCAGGCTGGATCGAAATTCGCTTTACAACGAAACCTTTCACACCGCTCTCAACTACTTCGAGCCACCCAGACCTTAAAGCAGTAGAATAAAGTACAATCTCATTAAAATCACAAAACTTTTCAAGTGTAATAATTTGAAGTTAAACTGTTTATTTTAGTATTTAACTAAATTTAACATAACAAAATAAATGCATAAATAATGCATGATTAAAATTAGTATATTTCCTAATAAATAAACAATATCAATTTATTAATTCATCATTCGTTAGAGATGTACAATTTCATGATATTTAAGTATTTAAGTAATCATTTTAGAGTTCCATCAAACTATATTTATATATAGATACACACCGTGATAACTATTTGTACTTTTATGGGACCACTGGTCTTTATTGCTGTTATTTTTGGAAAGCTCTGTTCTAGAAAACAACTCTCTGACTAGTTCTTGAACTGCATCTAGACGCTACGCTACGTTTCATTTACCCCAGAGCTCTGATTTGATGAAGACGGCAAACCTCAGTTAATGTTTCACTTGAAAGTCAGAAAACCAGCGAAATCCAGTCCTCGTTTTGCCATCCACAATAAAAGCCAATAATGTCTTTTGAACATTAGGTTCATAAATAGAAACTGTTCATCGCCGTCTGTGATTTCCTGAAAGGTAAAAAACTACAAGTCTTAAATATTTCCAACAGTAGACGCCATGTTGGATTTTCCATGTGAGGCTGTTGAGAACGTTTTGGGATTTTTTTTACCAGGGAAATCAAAAACCCTTTCTTCAATACATACTGTGAAAAATCACAAATAATGTATTTTTCTTAAAAACATTATTAGCTGCTCATGTTATTTATCATCAGCTTTAATAACCAACTTAACAAGCAGTAGCATACTGCTATTAGATTTTTTTTTTCATCATAACACAGAAACATAAAACCTTTCATAAAAAAAAATTAAGTTCAACTTTTTTATTAGGGAAGAACTTTAGAAAAACATTATATTAATGCTAAAACTTAAATTCTAGATGTACCGTTTTTTAATCATCTTTTTTCCTGTTGAAATTTAATTATTTATCTATTTTTATAGCAGGTTCATTAAATCAGGTTGTTCCTAAATAAAACCTGATTGATCTGATTTCACCGTTTCAAACAGAGCAGACACTTACTGGTCTGACAGTGAACTCCTTCGAAGCCGGGCTGACATTTGCAGATATACTCTGTGAAAACGTCGCCTCGGCGGGACTGACCAGTCACCTCGCAGACGCCATCGTTCTCACAGGGGTTGGGGCTACATGGCCCTTTTGGATGAGAACAAAACAAACTTTAAGCATTAAGTGAAATAAGCTGAGGGTAATTCATAATGATAAAAAAACAAACTAAAGATTCCCATTCAAACGTAGTCTAAGCTAGGAGTTTAGGTGTCAGAAGTTAACGTACCTGTTTCAGTCTCATTGCAGGTGTCTCCAGAAAAGCCATCAGGGCAGATGCACATGAACGGAGTCCCTGTACCGGTCACACAGGTTCCCCCATTTTCACAAACATTCACGGGACAGAGATCACCTGCAGACAGATGGAAGAGCAACACTGTTCTTATACCTTATCCAAAATACTTCGGTTATCCTGGGCTATTTTTTGCATTTGTGCTGCTATAGGCTTAGACTGCTGGAGGACATAGGGACCCATTTTCATCATTCTATCTCTATTCTCTCATTCTGCAGTATTTGTTAGTTCAAACTGTTTTGCTCTTTCTGCTTTCTCTCATAGTAGCTTCATATGGTCTTATCCTGTTTGACTGAGACTGAACTGTCTCTCTAAAGTGCCTTGAGATGACATGTGTTGTGAATTGAAGCTATATAAACAAACAGAATTTAACTTTAAGGAACCACTTTTTTTTTTTTAAATGATCATAATGAGACTTCAAAAAAAGTTAAAAAACAATCCAATGGACTTTGTTTCCAAGTTTGAAGACATTTCTCTTCCCATTAAGGAAGCTTTTTCAATTCAAAATGTCAGATTTAGCGTTGAGTTCGCGGTTTTATAGAGTGGACCAAAAATGCCATTTCTGACATTTTGAATAAAAACAGCTTCCTGGATTGGAAGCAAAAGGTCTTCCAGTCCAGTTTTTACTTTTTGGGAATTACTATGACCTGGAAGACTGAGAATCTTCAGCATATCATAATGAGACTGTCAGTAGACTAAGAGTGAATTTAGCATTTATAGAGTTTAGGCTAAGCAACAAACTTATTTTTCAAATCATATCAGGAGGAGTTCATGAAAAGAAGAAACATTCTCTCTGTTTCTGTCCAGCTGTTTTTCATAATACTGCATTGTTCTAAGGCTGAATGACAAACTGCCAACTGCAGGTTTGGTGTAATGGCGTGAACAGCTGAGTAAGCCATCATTGCCGTGTAAACAAGACAAACACTGGATCCTTCCACCGTCATGCAGCTGCTCCATGGCCATATGGGAGCCCAGCTTCACGTGGAAAAGCAGAGACTCAGATAAAGTAAATAAAAGGCAAATGGTTTAATTTTGAAAGGATGTTTTAGAATTTGCATCTTTAGAAATGACCCAATCAATGAAGACCAGAAACTGTAAACTTTCTCAATCAGGGGTTTGAACCTTACAGTATATTAATATCAGAGAAAATACAATAAATCAGAGAAAAGGGCTTTTAGTTAACCCAGTTCTTTCATAGCTCTGATAAATTTTCTTCACTGGGCAGAAGGGAGGCCACGGCCTGTCATTGGATGGACCCGTGTTAAACACAGATTGGATTCTTTTGGACCATCTTGTTCTAGATTTGATGCTCCTCTTAGGAATCACAGCTTTGTAGTGTAATCAAGCTTGAGCAGTTTAACAGATGGCCTCCTCATCACTACCACTACAATTCAGAGAATTTTAAGCTATCTGACAGCTGTTCAGGATTGAAACAAGGCAAAATAATACAGAATAAAAATCAACCCTCCACTAATTCTCAACAAATATTAGCCCTTTGTGCTTGTAATAATATTAATAATAATAATACCATCATACTGTGATTTCCCTCAAGTTTCTGAAATGAAACAACAAACTTGGCTGGTCTTCACAATTTTTGGGATTCCAAATAAAACACTAACAGGTGTGGTGCTGCAGCCGCTGGTCATCCGCTTTGAAAAGTACTTAAGAGTACTTGTACCGACCTTTGCCCCGCAGTTATACATTTGTTCAGCTTTCATTAATGGTTTCATGGCAACAGTCCAAAACATTAGACTTTAGGGACTTTTAAGCACTGAGCATAAAATACTCACCTTTGTCAAACACCCAGGTTAACTGGTACAATTTTATGAAATGCAATATTGTAAAATATATTTCCCCTTTTTGTTCTTTCTAAAGGGAAGCTCTTTGGTTCGTCTTTCTGGAGAAGCCACAAAGTTTCAGTCTATTTCTAACTAAACTGGTATGAATTTAAACTTCAACTTGCAAATATGAGTAAAAGTGTACTTGATAATTATCCACTAGCAAATGAAGTATTTTAAAAATCTGCAATTTAAATTATGAAGAGTGCCAGAGAAGGTACAATAACGGGGACCTTTTAATTACCCTCATGTTGAGCAACATTTAGAACCAAGTTAGTGTTTCAGATTTTATATTATGGAGTAAATCACAGAGAAGAAATTCACTGAAAAAGTCCAGTTTAGCTTTTTATTCAAGACATGCAGCTCCTTTGCATATGGTGAGCTATCAGTGATGTGTTCAATGTCACGGCCTTGGAGATCGTACACATCTCAGCCACTGGTCTAACTGGCACCAATAACACGTCTTTATCTGGAAGTCACTGCTTGTTTATCTTTGGGAAGGAATGAAACCTCCCTTCCTATGCCCACAGGCAGCTCCCTTCAGGAAGCCTGCATATCCCAAACACATTTCCAGAAGAATCGATTAGATGCTGTTAGAAAACCGCCCAGTTAAAGAAAAACTGGACAGTTTGCATATCTTATTAAACAACCTCTGTAAAGTTTGCATTCTGCACCAAAAGAAGGATAATTCAGCTGCGAGGCTGCCTCACTGAGGAAATGAAATTACTGATGACACTGAAAAAGTCGTCGGCCGGGATCAAACCACAAAAACCTCTTTGAAATTCCCCGAAATAATCAGACTGTCTGTAAGAAACACAACGAATAAAACCAGGAATAGAAAAACCTGCAGAAGCCACAAATACTGAAGTTTGACTCTCGGTTGATTGGAAAATAAGCTGCTGTGTTCTGCAGTAACCTAGATTGTTGATTACGCCTCGTTCCCATTTCCCAGGAAACCAGAACTTTGCTCTGTCTCATAATCAACATGTTTCAGTTTGTAACAAAGGGTGGTTTATACTTCAGGGGAACTCTACATTTCTTATAGATTGGATTTGAAAGAAAAAACAAATTCTCTACACAAAAAAGAAGGCCGGAACGACAATCATTTAGATAACATTAGTCATAAATCCATTGTTCTATTCCACAACTGCAAAAAACAAAGCATGTTGGCTTTTTCCATTACCTGTGGGTATGTCCTAACACACACACACACAAAAAAGAGGAAAGCTCAGAGTTAAAGGTACCCAGCGTGGTGCCAGCTATGCCCTGACCGCCATTAGGAAGGTATGCAGCGTTATACTTGGCAGGAAAGGCCATTTCCAGAGAGCATTGTGTTATTCCCAATTAGCATGAGTCATGGTCTGGGCCTTTCCTAGTTTGCCTCAAACCAAGATAAAGATTTAAACACCATCCAAAAGAGAGCTGGCTGTAAATGTAGACAATGCAGCCCTCACAGAAACAAAGCAAATGAAGGAGGGGGTGTTACTCCATAAGGAAGTCACAAATGGAGCATTTGGAAATGCTGATTTAGATCCAAACCCAATACATAGTGTTAGAAGCTACAACATTGTTTATTAAGTTCGAGGAAAATGGGCTAGACATAATGTTGGCAGTTTGCTTTGTGGTGGAGTTATTCTTGGCTGAAATACTCAAGATAATTCTTTTCTGAATGAAGCACAGAGTGGAGGGCGTTTTATGTAAAAAACGCAGAAGATGTCATTACAAGTTACTCAACAAAAGATTTTAACCCATGCAGTGCCTTTTCATTCAAAGACATTTTAATGAGAACATGAGCAAAGTCTAAACTCCTTTTACATTAAGAAGAAATTTGTGAAATAAAAAACATCTCCAAAAATGTGGAAAAGTCTAAAAAGTCATCAGCAACCAGGAACATCTGTTAAACTCTGATTATTTAGAAACATGGTGATGGTAAAAGTTAAAGAGTTAATAGTGACCTCAGTTTATAGGAAGTCATGTGTTGAATTAATCTCACACTTAAACCCTGAAAAATCCAACTTATTTAAACATTATAAAAACATTATTCACTAGGAATTTACAGTCAATTAATCTAAAGCAATTCTAACAGAAGCAATACTCATTTAAATTATGCAATAAAGTCAGGCATTTCTCGTAGTTGGTCTTCAATGCGACAAACCCCAAAGTAAAAGCATAACAAATATCAGACTGCCAGCCTGGGCAGCATCAAGAGACACAGAAGTGTCGGGATGAGCGGAGGTGGTTAAGGTGGTCAGGATGATGGAAATGAATGAATTTTATATGATTAATTAAACCAAGTAAAATGCTATGCTAACTGGTAATAAAACACAAATCTGAAATTTTAATGCCTGACTCACCAAGCGGCATGTGTCTGAGGGACATTGTTTTATGTTGCGTTTAGTTTGTATACAGAAACGTAAAAGTGACTGTAGGAGCCAGATATAAGAGACTATAAAGACACCACCTTAAAGCCCCAATTTGTGCAGTTCCAATTCAATCCAACTTTATTTGGATAACTGCTAAAGTTAATCAGGATCTGAATGCTAGAGAACTATAACAGCACATCTGTCAGGACACGCCCACAAGAGTCTCCCAAATTCACAGACGTCGACAGTCGGAGCAATAATTAAATATATAAATCCCACAAAACCAGACTAAAAATGACACCAGAAATAGAGATATTATACCTGTAAAAGGCGTTCCACAGGAGCAGCATTATCAAGGCTTTTATTTGTTTCTGATAATTGGATATTATGTACTCAAAATCAAAGTGGCTTTTTGCAGTGTAAGACACAAAGCAAAGACTGCTGTTACTAGGCCTGTCGCCTTAACGACAACAAGCAAGCAAATAATAAATTTCTTTTAAATTTGTCATGAGATTCATTTGTCATGCGATTCATTATAACTCAATTATTTAATTATTTTCTTTTGACGTACCTAGCTTGTATTAGAACACATTTGCACAAGCTGAACAAAGTGATTGATTGACTTTATTGATCTTACAGTGGAGAAATTCACTTATCGGCTCACTAGTCAAAAAGAAAGGTGCCAAAAGGAGGAAATAGGTGCATGGGGGATATACACAGTATATACAGGGTGTCCACATATAAATATATATAACAGCTGTAGTCTCTAATTTAACAGGATTATTACTCAGAGTTATTGCACAGGTTAATAAATGTAGGTCACATAATAGGTATTTATGCTGATGAAGATTCTCAGTCA